GCTGCTTGGATCTCTTGACCACCTTCCATTCAGAACCCTTTCCACTCAGGCAGGAATGACAAAACCCATATCCTCAACAAGCGATGTAGATGGCAAATGCATGCATCTGGCGTGCCTACATCACCACTATTCAGATGACACTGCAAAAATCAACCGGACAGGGCCCATTTGCTGTCTAGGGCTAAGTGAACCTGTAATTTTGGGAAGATGGGCTTCATCTTGAAAAGAGTTGTCTGTCTTGGCCACCCTCTTTGATTGCGAGAGACAACATTGACAAGCTTGTGAAATAAGCGGTCTGAGGCTCCTTCAGAAAGCCCGCCCTGCCTTCGTCATAATGGGGTTGCGGCGTACTGCAACGGTATTTGTTTGTGCAACAAAACTACACTGGGCTCATCTGGGCTTAACTTGTTTATATGAAACCTTTCACGCGTCCATGATAACAGTCATATAGAATTCATTGTCCTTTTGAGGAGCTTTAATAGAGGTCCAGCAACGCCTAAGTCAATGTGCACAGTGTTCGCATAAGATGGAGTATGCACATTCAAGTTGTTTTGTGTGCGGCCTTCTTTCCATCAAACTTGGTTCCAAACGGCTGTTTTCTTTCAGTCAGTTGTCACACAACTTCCAAGAAATCCTTCTTTTGGATAAAGTACAGGGCTGGGGACAAGCGTCCCAGTCTCTTGCCTGATACCCTTAGCCAGATTTGTTTTTGAGTCTCAATTGTCTATGACAAACTGATCTTGTTCTTTTTCCTTTGGCTCATTTTCTTGTTTGACTGAGCTGTTGCTCCGCTTCTGATTCCACTCACTTGGATCTTGGTATGTTTTTCCGTTTGCACATCTAGTAAGGGTTCCTGGCAACATGCCTACACGCGCTTATATCACTGACATAGCTTCGCACGTCGCGGATGAGAGGATACTTTCTGCAATTTGCTGAGTGTCAAAGATTCACTGCAAGTGAACCGTAGGAGCTAGGTTTGGTCAAAGCTGCCAAAGTTAAAATTGGCTCCGAGCAATGAGCCATGTGTTTACTTTCTCAAGGTGCGAGAAGCTTTTGAATTATCAGTGAAATCTAGATTCCCGGAAGATCTGGGCCTGGCCTAAGCCACGTCCACGGCCGGCGGCCTTTCCACGGCCCAAGACCTTGCCACCTTTGCCGCCTCTGGGCTTGCTGTCACCTTCCGAGAACTGATGTCGAAAAGCGAACACGTGGCCTGAAAAAGGTGCATCTTCCTTGCTCCTAGTAGCGATGCCCCTTGCTCCTAGTAGCTTCTTGCTCATAGTAGTAAGGCCAGAAGCTACTAGTAGCGTCCTTGCTCCTAGGAGTCTGGTTCCAGGAATCCAGCATTGTAATTGACAATTGGGAAGGCTCATCTACCCAGGCACTTCATCTTGGGTCTACAATCACATATGGCCCTGTGGCTGTCTCATGCACCATTGGTGCGCTAGGCCAGGCACCTGTCCAATCCTTCTTGATGACCTCATCCAGCGGCATCTCCACCCTGGCACAAACAACTGCTGCCAAGAACGCAAAAATGCACTTTGGTTGGCGTCCATTTTCATTCTATTTCTTGGCGAATACTAAAAAAAGAAAAAAACAAAAAAAACGACGGACTTGAGAATGATCCGGCTGTATGCTTGCCTTTCATGACAGTTTCTTGTCTACAAACAAGCACGGAATGTGCCCAAGGTTGAGCCATCAAGAAACGCTGTTTCTTTGCTGGGTCTCCAGAGGCCAAGAGCCTCCACTTCACTTGAGGGAGAAGTTGCTATGTTACCCATTGCCCATGTCAGGTTCATGTCTGCAACTCCGAGCTCATCCTGTCATTGGTCTCCGGCATGTTGAAGCACCTCGCTTTTCGTGTGGCAGGCTAAGAAACGGGAGGACAAAGCAAAATAGATTAACTAACTGGCAAAAGCCCGTCCCTGTCACCTACTTAGAGCAGATTGTCAGGTCATACCACCCCCTACAAAGCCCTACTATATAGACAACTTCTCACACACACACAGAGATCGTTTTTATATAGACAAGTAAAGACACCTTGCCGTGCAGTCTTAACCCAGACAGCCGGGAGCCAAGCACCAGAGGTCAGGGCGGTTGCACAACGAGCTACACAACTACAGCTTTCTTCACCGTTCGTTAGAAGCGGGAATTTATCTAAGATTGCTCTGTAAAACAACTTGCAGCTTTGCTCTTTCCGACCTTGTTGAGAGAAGCTGGAAAGGTTTGTCTGAAACAGTCCCTGCCCTTGGTTCATCCATGATAGCAAATGGTGTTGGTCCGTGTGCAAAACAAGAGAACAGTTGCAGTGAGTATCTAGTCATTGGTCACAGCTTGAGAGATTAAACTGCCGCCATCTCGGTTCCACGAGCAGGAGGACATCCAAAATGCCTTCACCGGAAAACAAGGGGCCTGGATTCTGGATCCTGATGGATCTGATGCAGCCCCAGTTAAGAGTTCGATGTGTGTGTGTGTGTTGAGTGACATGATCACAGCCCCCAAAAAATTAGGTTAGATCATGGCAAACCCTCTTGGCAGGATGAGTGCAAGCTTTTGTTCAGCACACTTCAACACCGTCCCACAAACAAGAAAGCTCTTGGACGGGACAATCTGGTTCTGCATTGTATATTATGTAGACTGGCTCAAAGCACAAGTCCCAGGCATCCCACGCAAAGTCTGGCTCCCACTCCACAGCACTGAAAGTAAACCGAAACAACCCCTCAAGAGCTTCGGAGGTCGTTAAGCATTCTTCCAGAAAGCCCAGCTTGATGCCAAAAGTGTGTTTTGCCTGCAAGTAAAGCTGCAAGTAAAGAAAACAAGCTGGTACTGCGCAACGAAATCGCTCGGTCTCTGTGAGGACTGGTGCCCCACGATTTGTCAGAAGCTTGGGTAGCTGCTGTCACAGGAGCAATACCAAGTGGAGCCTCCACCCTAGTAGCGATGGCCTCTCTCAAGAAAAATTTCATGTCAATTTGGCCTACTCTTTGCCCTTCTCAATGAGCCTACAGCAGCACTTCAGTCGAGAATTTGTCAAACACTGTCCCAATTGGCTACATCTGGAAAATCAGTTTCCGGAGCGGCATCACTTCGCATAACCTCCAGACCCGCTTTCCACCAAGCACTTCTTGAAGCCGTCCTCCAACTCCTGCTGCTTGTTGCCCATGCAAAGCTTGCTTGCTGAGAGAGAGGATCGTCAATGAAGACTGGGAACAGCTCGTAAGACAGTTTTGCTAGCAGCTAGATTACTTCCAACAGCGACGAAAGCAAAAGAGTTCTCAGGACTGTCCCTTCTGATATTTAGGTCTTGACAAAACTTGTTCGTTAAGGGACCTGTGGGGGACGGTTCTCGGTGACCGGTTTTTTTTCCCTTCCAAACAAGGGCCCACCCATGCCAACAATAGAGTGAATGCGCCAATGGGCTTGTTTTCTTTGCCAGAACAAACCATGCTCCAGCAAAAGCACCAAGGTATCCATTGCTTGTTTGAAGACGCGGTGCTAAATATCTCCCTCTTGGTCAATTTGGTGCTTCAGCAGACCAGGCTGTGCAGCTATCCGAAGCTATCCAAGGCGCTTTGCGCGAAAAGAGGCCATGGAGAGGGACAAAGGCGCACGCATACATTCTTCAATTTCTTACAGTGTCACTAGAGAGAAGCCGGTAGCAAAATACAAACGCAATCAATCACACGAGTGATTACCAGTCTTCTTGCTTTAACGAGAGGGAACCTTTGTCGCCCTCGAGGAAAAGAGGCCATTGCCAGAGAGGCCAAGAGTACACAAACTTGAAGGCAGGGCTGGCAGAGCTGGCAGGGCTTGTGGGTTTACGCAATCTTAGAGCCCGAACTGTGAGATTCCATCTGACTTGTACCCTCTTCAAGTTTGCCAAATCAGGTCTCAAACCAACCTGATCAGCTGAGCTGGAAGGCTACTGCAACAGGGCCTCTTGGAGATGATGGGTTGCTGTCAGCAGGTGGCCAAATTTGAGAAGTGGTCAACTCAACTAGGCTGAACGATGCAGAATCCTCACCAGACGCGTTCCCTAATCCTCTACCAGGGCGGAGAGTACTTTTTCAGCAGCAACTGCTCCATCGCTTCGATTCACAAGGAAAGCTACTACAACCTTGGCTCTCAAATGCCATGATTAAAAAGCAATGAAAGCTGAACAGCTTTTCTATCACAGCCGCAGCTGAAAAAGCTTGAACACAACCTGACCCTACACTCTCAACATTCACACCAATCTGCTGGGCGCCCCTGACCGGGCGAGACCGGCGCTGCAGCAGTACCGCAAAGGAGCCATTGCAGGCGCTGTGTCCCAACGCTTGATGGCCATTTGGCCTCAAGTTCTTCGTTGTGTTCTTCATCATTGTTTTTATCACAAGAGAAAACTCACAAATGTGCGTGCCCAGTGACAGTCGTAGCATTTGAAGGCCCAAGCCCCACCTCAGTGCGTCACGACGGTGCAAAATCTAAATCTTTGCTCGGAGACTCAAACGTTCCGACCAGTCGAAGGGTTCAAGGAAGCTTCTCGAACCCCTTCGCAGTCGGAGAATCGTGAAGGAGCCAGGCCCCACATCCCCCAGTGCACAGTAGTACACATCCCGACGGAAGAAGACACACCAGTTCGGAAGAATTCACCTGCTCAAATCGTGCGCGCGTTTTTTCGACAAAAGCGAAACCTTTTGGCGAAGCAAATAGCAAAAAAGTCTGAGTCCTCGAAGATTTGCCTTCGCGCAGCACTGGTTGAAAGAAACTTAATATAGGATGCTTTAACATGTTCATGAAAAGCTGCAGTACCTCCAGCACAGCATTGGTACACAGGAATGCACAACTTCAATGCCAGATCGAGCGAGCACGAGCTAGAGCCATTCACTTGAATTTACTTTGAAGAAAAGCAATGGACAAGCAATACTCCTCACGTCCTTGCTCCTTGCTAATATGTTTGCTACTAGTTTCTTACACTACGACAGCTACCTCTGCTACCCCTGCCACCCCTCCTGGGGTTATTACTGCCTCCCCGGAAATGACTTTTCGTGTTTTGCACTGTTTGTGGCACCTCTAGGGCCTCGCTTCATGTGAGGTGTGGAGCCGATCAGACAACTGGGGAACCCGGGCTCAGCATCCTGAAAGCGCTCCAAATGGTGAGGCAAACGGCACGGCTCTGAGTCAGGACCTAAGGGAGCGCCGTGATGCCGTGCTACAAGAAGAGTAGTAGTGCTCAATTAAGCATTCCAGCAATTCCCTTCAAAAGAGCAGAATGGAATATTCCGAAAACAACACCTTCAATCTCCAAGACACTCCTACCGCATCTTAAACGCCATCTGCTCCGTGAAAAGGCCAACAAACCAACATCGTCACAAACGCACAACCGACACCAACATCTGCCCTCAAGCCGGCCTTTCTCGGGCTTGCGAGATCGCGAGGCTTCCCGCCACATCCGTTGTGAGAGGGCCTGCCCTGCCGCCGCGGCTCGCAGTGCCTTTGCCGTGTCCTGCCAGACGAACAACGCGGAGCAAGCAAAGCTGGGTTGATTTCAAGCTACCTGCGTCAAACATCAAGCCCAGGACAAGTTGCAGCTACAGGGCCAGTACCCTGCTCAACTGTGCCTTGGCAGTTGCAAAGCCTTGCCGCCCAGGAAGCACGCTGGTGCGCGGAAGATCCCGATTCAAGGCAGCAGGATTGAACCAATGCTCTCGACCTCAACAGCTTTCTTGGGCGCCCAGCTTCACACGGGAAGCTGCTTCTTCAAGTCGCAAAATTGGTGAATTAAAATGATCTAATCGCAGAACCCAGGGCTTGTGCAAGCATCTGTCCAAAAGGTGGCGCTTGTGGCTTTTCTGTTGGTGGACATTCAAGTATATTATATAGTAACTTCTGCTGTATGGCATCTTCCATCTGGTACACACAAATAACAAAGTTCGGCTTGGGCGTTTGATGCTGCTTTGATCACATGGGTTGCTTCGTTTAAGAGTAGCCAAGAGAACAAGCAAAATGCAAGAACACACGTGTAGACTCTAGGCTTATCAACTTCCATGACTGAAATCAGCGTGCCACTACGGTACACAAATGGCATAGTGAAGTCAGTTGCATTGCTCCGCTGAGGCTGGAGCCAAAGAAGCTCATCCACATGCCATGCTCCGCCTTCTGCCCCTTCGTGGCATTCTTGCTGCGTCCACGATTTGTAGCGTCGACAAAGTGCTCAAACCTGAGGGGTCACTGCAAGATCAGCAAGTGCATCGCTACTAGTAACAAGTGTATTACTACTAGTAGCAAGAAGCTACTATTTGTAGCTTTTTGCTACTAGTAGCGATGAGATCGGGCCTCCACAAAACAGGGTCAAACCTATCGACGCAGCTTTGGGAATGCTGTGTGGCCATCAAGAGAAAAGTCAATGATTTCCTCAGAAAGGCTGTGAAACTACTTTCTATCGTTTCGACCCAGAAGCCTCACTTTGACAACCACTCCCTACCTCCCGCCACAGTAGACGACGAGGCACTCTTCCATCCGCTTGCCCAGGTCCTCATAGCAGCCAGGAACCGCCCCCGCGTTCAATACTTACCAAGAAGTTCCAAGTTGCTCGAAGACGGTGAGCTGATGTTTTACCACGGATTCCAAGCGTTTCAAAGTCACTCAGTTTCTAGATCCCAAAAAGGGGACCAGCTTCCGGTCTTCCCCCTCGCACACCGAATCTCCGCTCCTCCAAGCTTGGGCTCCTGTTGCATCCGACAAAGGAAGCCAACAAGAACAGCAAGAACGTCATAGTCTCGAAAAAAGAATGAAAGTAAGGACCCCTTCAATGAGTGTGTGTGTGTGTGTGTCAAAGCGATCTGTGGACATTTGCTTACAAAAAGCACTGCTTCAAACGCACAACAGAGATTTCAAGGGCAGCTTCATCAAATGCTTCAGCCTACCTCATTTGGGAGACCGGTTGAGCACCAGAGGGCGGAGAATCCAACAGGAGCCGGGCATTGGCCTGGACAGTCAGCCCCAGGATAACAGTGCACCTCCACAGTGTGAATTAAGCCCTCCAACAGCCCTATTAAACCAAGCAGTTAACAGTTAACAGATGTTAACAGCCCTATCAGACCTACCAGTCAATCACTCATCCAACTCCTTTCCTCACCTGCTTGATGAGAGCAAAACTATGCAAAGAGCTACCACTTCTCAAAAAAGCTAGAAGAATGTACCGTGCTTTTGCGAGGTCCGTGAAACAGCTCTTGCCCAGGCCTCGTCTGCAAACCGTTGCCATGCTGTTTCCAGGCTGGTTCCTGCCAGTTTACAAGCCTCATGCACCAAGAGCCCAAAACTCGTATGTTCATACCTCAGCTCCCATGCTCAGTCATTCTGGTGAACTCTTGAGGCCAACTTGTCCTCGAGCCTCATTCCATCCGGCCCTCGAAACTTTCACACGTCATAGTAGTTCTGGATCAGCTTGAATATTAACCAGAAAAGGTTGAGAAACTTTACAGCCGAACTGCAGGAGAAACTGCAATGAGACGATGCGGGCAAATACTGTTTGACAGCACGCTGGATTGGTGCATCCAAGTTGCTGCTGTCTCAGACCTGCAACACTGGAAAATAAACACGTGTGTGGATGCGTTCATGTATTTCAAGAACTAGTAACTAGTGGCCATGACGATAAGGGTCTGCGCAAATCATGTGGTAGAAGAAAGCTTCTAGACCCCTCGAAACCTCACAATCAAGAAACTGTAGTTGTTGACACCAAGGAACCAAAGCCTTACAAGTAGCACAGCGAGCCTGGTCCCAGCAAAGGCTCTTCAGCCAACATCTTTTCCGCCAGAACCTCACTGTCACAGAACTCCCTGAAGGACAAGTCTGAGCTGCCTGGCAGCGACCAATGGGGCTCGCCAAAACACCAACTAGGACGATTGACATTGAATATTCCAATTTTTGTCTGACGATTATATTACTGTACAATGCAGTAGAATGCAATATAATGCATTAAAATGATCACAAACCGCAGCTCAAGAACTCACACCAACCCGCTTCTGTCCGGCCTGGAGCCAGCTTTAAGTGGCCAGACCTCAGGATATTGGTTGCAACAGATTTTGAGAACAGCACCTGATCATCCGCTCGTGAACGGAATAGCACCTCCTGAATACCCAGCTTTCCCCTGCTTTCCCCTCTCTGCCAAATGGCGTGTGGCTCAGTGCGTGTTCCAGCAACACCTGGCAAAAACCAAGGAGAAAAACAGGTCAACCAGCTCCTTCCCATTTGTTTTGCGCTGAATGAGGGGTATCAGCATCATAAGTGTAAAGTAAATGACGACATGTCGCAACTAGGGAGCAAAACATAGCTAAGCCCCTTTGAACCTGTGTCCATGACTCATGACCGTCATGATTTGCATGAGCCAAAGTTGACGACGAGCAAAAAAGCGAAAAGTCAAACACGACTTACTCTTTCGTGGAAGGGTCACGAAACTTTGTCCCTTCCCATGGCCACCTTGCCCATCGAGCTCTCTTGCAGCACAGCTCTTAAGGAGACACGGCCCTCATCCACCAGCCCCAACACCTGAGTGGGAAAAGGGTCACAAGAAAAAAGAGAGTCAATGACTCAATGATAAAATACTGAGATGGCCTGCAGCGCTATGACACTATTGACCAACATTCCATGCATTTGATGAGCAAAGGCACGCTAAAGGTCAAGAACATCTTGGAGATCTCCAAAATATTGAATACGGTATTGCATGTGACCTGAGTAAATAAATGCACACATAGAAGTCAAGCAAAAGATGTTGTCTCATCTGATTGCCAGCAGCATAGAGTGTGGTCAGAGCTGCTAGAAGTGATTGTTTCTCAAATGTATCTTGCACATATGATAACACGGACATAGACCAAAACTTGCATGGCCACCCCAAATACACGCACATGTGGGTGAATTGGTCACCTGGTTACCTGCAGTAAGGCATCAGCTGGTTGACAGGACTGAGCCGAGACACTGGCAGTGGATTTAGCCAAGAGCAGTGTCCCAAAGCTAAATCTGCCAAGACATCACCTGAAAACGCATGAAAGGTAACCCATGTTTTCCGTATTTTGGAACCTGCACTATAAACTTGCGTTGTCCGGGCGATGGCAGTGATCAAGCACTAAGCAACATACACTGGGGTGCCAAAAGTTGCGCTTCTTGACTTCTAAAACATCACAAACCATTTCCCCTTAGAATCCTACGTGCAACATGTCGACGCCTCAGTTGCGGTCAGATTTCCACACCTGAAAGCCTTATAAATATTTAATATAAATTTAGACGGGTGTGGAAATCTGACCGTGCTGTACCTGCCACGCAAAATGGACGTGTTAATCCGATCCGCTGTAGACCGCAAGTGTCATGTTGGAACAGAGTAAGAAGCGTAAACTTTAGGGTTCTTGAAGTATACAAACAACTGTATCCTTAGCTGATTCATGTTGATTCTATCCTAAAACTTTCTGAGAAAAGAACCAAGCCCCCGAGCTGGCCGGCCCATTTCCCCATTTCCGCAGATTCTGGTTTCGCCGGCCTGTTGCCAGATCCAGCACGCAAAGTTGCGCACCCAGCAAATGCCTTCAGAAGCTGTGGCATGCCGAGGCCTTCTTGTGATTCTTGTTCTTACCCAGAAACAATTTGAAGGGTTCTCAGACAGGGCTTATCATGTCCCAGTTGTCTTAGAGCGATATACACCATGTCTGTCTGGGGCTGCTCCACAATCACAACCCACTGTACACAGCTGCGACTTACCATAGTCAAAGCGAGACAGCTGTGGACCGTGGAGTGGATATCATGCTGATGCATGCACATATTGACTGCTCCTTCAGCCAAAGGTACCCATCCGCGTGTAGAGCCCTCAGCAACCCTGACAACTTGGAGACAAAGGCAGGATCGCCAGAGCCTCGAACCAGGATAGAGGTTAAGTACAACAGTCAAGACTAGCTTGAAAGCTTCGACAACTAGGGGTGATTGGTGATGCTGATTCAAACACGGAGTGCAAAAAGACAGCATCAGCTTCTCCAGAAGAGAGGCTACAATCGCATCCAGCCGTGACTTTCCTTGCGAGGGCTGGGATTGCCCTTAAACATTCCGCTTCCAAGTCAATCCGAGGATCCCAAGATTTGAGGCGCGATGGGAAGCTTCAGCGTGAAACTGGTCATACTTGGCTGCACCTTCAGAACCAAGGGCACGTTCCGAAACAATGCGTCTGCTTCTTGGAAAATACTTGTGGGCCGAAATACTGTGATATAGAAATATATATATATATATGTATGTATATATATATAAGGGTATACATGTGTATAAGCCTTCCAGTGATACTCAACGAACTGTGTGAATTTGCACCTTCACATTGCTATGGCCCAGCTCTTTCAGCAACATGGGATAGCCGTGGCACACCTGAAGCTCACGCGCTTGATTTTCTGGAATACCATTAGAAGCAGAAGTGTAAAGCAAGCGCGTCTCAAAGACACTTCCTTGAATGAAAGTCACCTAGGCCAAGAGGTCCAAATGGGTACTAAGTACTACAGCATAGCTTGTTCCGCAAAAAAGGCACCAGGCCTATGGAAAAGACTACTCCGACTCCAATTTGTACTTAAACCGAATAGCCCATTGATACATCAGCACGTTTGTGCTGGTTGTGGTTCGTTGTGAAGTTGTACAGCAAAGCCCTCTAATGGGTGATGTCAAATCATGGAGCCCGAATGCTTTTCAAGGCCCACTCTTGGGGAGCTTTTGGATGACGAGGTCATGTCTGTTTTGGCCGTGAAGGGTTTTGCTCAAAACACGCACACCCTTCACCAATACGCTGGACTCAAAGTCCTCAAACCAAACACATTCCATCTCGGGGGTCCAGGTCTCGCATGAGTATTCGGTGCTATCATACACACACAATAGACTCTTGATAGAAAGCAGCTCTTGTGCAACCCTTGTCCTGTTGCACCTTTAAATCGGGATGTGTGGGTGCTAATGACAGGCAAATCGGTGTGCATTCCAACAACAATTTCGTTGGTGCGAAGAAATGGCACTATTTTATCGTGCCTGCCACCTCCATTGAAGAAACTGGGCTCTTTGGTGGAATTGCCTCTGCCTCATACCTTGTCAACCAAACTTGTTGCACGAGCGGACTTACTACTCTTCATGGAGACCGGGTCGTCGAAGTCACCTTCGTGCCGGGCTGCAAAGAGATGCATGAGGGGCAAAGAGACCTCTAAGCGGCTGGAGACCTCGAAGAGCAACGAGACCTCGAAGAGTTAGGGTGAGCGTTTGCCACATGCTCTGCAAGCGATCCAAGAATAGAACTAGCCGAACTACCTCTGCTGCAAATCTCTAACGTCTAATGTACCCAGAAGTCAAAAAGATCCCAAGAGCGCAAAAAGCTGCATGCAGGCTTTTTCCAATGCGCTTTGGTTGATGCTGGGGTCCTCCCCCAGACCCTGTATCTCTTGGTCAGTTTCAAAATGCCCTGGGCTTCGCCAGGGGGACAAGGGTGTGTCACGCAGTAGGATTCGCCCACCGCTGCCAAACACTCGAATGTCCCCTGGTCCTCCCAGGGCCAATGGGCACCTGTCGAGGTGCCAGGGGACAGGGTCGGGAGGACAACCCACCGGATCCGGTCACGGGATCTTGGGTGGGCACCTAGGAAAATCCCGTCGAGGACAAAAGTCTTGTGGCAAAAGGAAAAACGAAGAGAGTCCCCGGGGCCGGTAGCCGGCAATCTAAGGAGAACCCTTCAAAGTCCGGATGAGTCAATTCGTCCGCCCAGGTATTGTATTCCCTTGGGACGTGATTAGGGGCAATGCTACAGCCCTCACGATGAAGGAAGAGAACCAGTTCCATCAGCAGTGCAGCCGAGTAAGAAGGTTTCTTGGCCGAGAGGTTGAGCAGGCTGAAGATGTTTCCTGGGTTGTCGCTGCCAACCGGGAGACGAACTCGTCCCAGAAGCTGGCCCTGTTGGGCCACCAGATGCTTGCAGAGAAGTAGAGTGCCCAGAAGTTCCAGGGCAGCTATGCGCTTCTGAGGGTTGCCATCCTTGAATGCCAGGGGGCCTGGGCAGAGCCCGGATCTCTTTGGAGAAGTCTGCCGCCGATGGGTAATTGTGATGTCCTTTGGGGTCCAGTGGCGCTTCCACTGGGTCTTCCCCCGCGAGTTCGCTCTTGAGGGCCACACTCCCGGGAGGAGAGGGTGGGGACCGAGACCCCCAGAAAAACGCCCGTGGCAACCGTCTGGTGTAGTGCGTTGGTGGCCAGGATGGAGGACCTTGTCTGATGTCCTCCGGCCCCGCACTGGAGGCGCATCAGGGGATCATGGATCGAGAGATCCTCGGAGATGGGATCAAACTTGGGGCAGTCGGACGACACCGTACTGGTATGCCACGTATCCTCCACAGTGGCAGGGAGAGTGGCCGCCCTGGCGGCGGTGCTGCCTCTCCGAACCTCTTGGAAGGAGGGTGTTGGTCCGGATCCGCGGTATTCGGGTGGGTGGGTTTTGGGGGGACCTGGAGGACCTTGGCGATGGCCTGAGCCAAGCCTATCATCATCTTGGTCAGGCTAACGGCTGAGGTCACTGGATTGGAGGTCCAGGGGTTGGTGCCCAGAGTGGTTGCAGCGAAGGTCCTGCCAGTGGTGCAATGGGAGGTCAGTCGATAGGGTGGTGGCCTTGACCACCATCTGGCCCAGTCTACCGCTCGGGTCACCCACAATGGGGAGCACTTGTGCGCTTGGGGACTGGCACTGACCTCCATGGGGTCCCGAGGCCCCACTCTCGGTGGGTGGCACTGGGAGAGGCCTTGGTACGCCAGTGAGGTCAAGTACATCTGGCGGAGCACCAGCATGCTGTCATTGTCTGTGTCAATCTGTTCCTCCGCAGTGTTGGAGGGGAGGCCCCACACTTGCTGCTCGCTGCGCCCCCTCACTGGCCTAGGGGCGTTGGGCTTGGGGAACCATCGGAGGATGCTCCAGGTGCGACAGTTTGGGCCTCCCCCAACAAAGAGGAGTAGCCCCGCAACAGCAAGGGAGCACAGGTGGTTCGATAAGGGTGGCTGGAGCATGTCCTGGCCAAGAGGCCCCTTGTCCCGTCGAATGTCAACCGCCCAGATCAAAGGTGGGAGATCTGGGCGCGTAGCATGAATGTAGGAGTCCAGAGAGCCCGCGTCTGGTTGCGTTGTCCGGCCAGGGTGTCATGCGTTTACCACACATGGAGTGGAAGGGCATGTCCCCTGCAGGCCGGTGGAGGAGCTCGATGCTCCGTCAGGCCGGACTTGTCGGTGGCCTTCTGATATGTCTGTGTCCAAACCCTCTCCTGCATGGCCAAGGCCCGCAGGGGGATGTACTGCTCAATGATGCGACTGACCACCGGCGTGGAGAGGGGGTAGCCCGTGAACTGGTCAAAGAGCTGGACCATCTCCTTCTCCGCACACGCGGTGAGGAGCCCAGCCAAGTGGCCCGGGGTGGCCGGAAAGGCGTCCTGGAACATGGCAAACCGGACGTGGTTCTCCGGCTCCCGTACCGGGATGAACCGGATCGGCATAGGAATCGAAGCCGTTGTCGCTCCTGAGGCCCTCGTGAAGCCCGGCAAGGTAGGTGTCTTGGATGTGGGTTCCTCCATTGGCTGTGGAACCGGGGGGGTGCAGAAGGCGGGTCTACCGAATACCCTGCCGGTGCAGGGGGCGTAAAACCTAGGCCCGCTCTCTCACTGTTGTCCTCCTCCATCTGCTGAGGTGGTGCCGCTGGCCACCGAGACAGGCCAGGCCAATGGTGGTTCCGCCATGGTTGTCAAAAGCGCAGGCGCGGCCTCCGCTGCAGAAGGTGTAGTAGAGCTCGAGGTCGGTGCCACCGCAGCAGCAGGCGCAACCCTCCCCGCAACTGGGCCACAGGCACCAGGTGCAGCGGGAGGGTTGCCAGCGCCGCCATCAGCAGGGTCGCTCAGCCCCAGGAGGTCCACGCCCGTGTCCGCATCTTCTTGGTTGGCTATCTGGACCTTGAGTTCCTGCATGCGGCGCTCCAGCTGGCAAATCTGCTCTTGAGCGTCCAGCTCGGAGACCAAGACAGGCTGCCCAAAAACGGCAAGTCCACGAGCCCCTTCCGCCTCCGCATGACGGAGGGCTGTAGACGCAGCGTCCGCTGCCTGGTCCAAACTCTCAATGCCCGGGCTACTGACCGTAGCCGAATCCCCATCGTCTGGTTGGGCGTCTCTGAACGACTCAATCATCACATACTCCGCTTCCATCGGGTGCGCCATTGCGTCGCGCTCAACAAAAACCGATGTACTGGGGAGTTTCTTCAAAAGTTCAGGTGCAATCCTGTGGATGATTGCCACCAACTTGAGCCAAAATGTCCCGGTGGGACATTTTGTGAACTTCAGTGAACATAAAACTTGCGCCCGCAAGCTACATGCAAGTGTGAATGCCTTATTGGCAGTTCTTCTCATCTCATGACTCATCTCTCTTTCGACCCTATCTCACCAGACCTCATCTGTTCGCCTACAAACCACTACAGTTGAATGGGGCTCTTGCTCTGTCCTTCCGGGCGCTGTCACATCTCATTGCAGAGTTCTTTTGGAAAAAAGACTTCACACCAACCTCAGCCTCCAACCTAATAGCAAAAGGAGCCTACAGTAGATGGATCAAATATTCAAGCCCCCTCAGTCAATGACTGTCACCAATCCCCGACCCCCAAAGGTCAATGTTGAACACGACTTCATTGAATTTGTGTTGCCAGGGTTTGATTTGCTTCGTCCATTCGCCGAAACACTCTGGCAGGCTCGCTAACATTGAGTCTTGGGGTGGAAGGGGTCCAAGCGGTTTGAAGGGTTTGAAAATTTTGTCCATCTACGGTAATAACTTAGTAGCGATGGCCTCCGACCTACTGGCGATATAGCCTCCAACCCAATAGCGATGGCCTCCCAATTTAGCTGCTTGTCAAGCTACAGTCTTTGTCAAAGGCATCAGCGGACCCTTTACAATTTGTTCACCACCTGGCAGGGAGGTGATAGTCCTCTGGGACATTTGGTGGTACTGAGGGATGTCAAATTGAAGCATCACCTGCGGTGTTATATTCCTGATGTTTGTGCACTCGTCCTCTGGCGGTATGCTTTGAAGCGCTTCAAATCCCTTTTTTGAATGAGATGTCAACCAATGAGGTTGGCGCAACCTGCAGGACAGCACTTCTTCGGATGTGAATAACTGGGCAAGTCCATTCTTGTTGCTAGTAACAAGTGCATCGCTAGCTGTAACAAGTGCATTACTACTAGCGGCAAGTAGCTACTAGTAGCTTCTTGTTACTAGTAGTAATGCCTTTGTTACTGGTAGCGATGCACTTGTTACTAGTAGCAATGCCCCTGTTACTAGTATGCATGCAAAATCCATTTGGAAAAATTACTTTTCGGAGGGGTCTTGCGATGGATTCCAAGATTCGAGGATTTAGCAACAACGGAATCTGTTCATCAACCTTTCGCTTCGTCGATCAATGCCAGAAGTGCCAAGTGCCTCTTTGAATGGCTTTGGTCTCACCATCCAGCTTCCCAAAGACCTGTGAGGCTGTGATATTAGTGTAAGCATCAAAAGCACCTCCACTTGTGAAAGGATATCATTTGTCCAGGAAGTTCTTCCTACTCCCCTAGTTGCCTCCCTTGCGTCCTAGCCCTGACGAAAAACAAATGTAAAAACAGACATACATACAGAGAGAGAGAGAGAATATTGAATTTAAAAAAACTAGAGAATATACTGTAAATGACAAAAATATAACAAAACCACATTTTAAAAAGAAAACTAAACGAAAAGACACAGACAATAATTGTAAAGAATAAAAATAAACAGAATATAATGTAAACAAATGATCCGCAAGCATCAAAGCATCACTTGACGCCCCAGTTGACCTGCTCCAGCTGCTCAAAGTCCGCGCGGGATTGGGCAATCGGCCGCGAGTCACGCAGCAGGAAGCCTGAGAGCAAACACCCGAGCAGCCGAAGTTGAGTCCAAAAAGTCACAATCTGTGGCAGGGCAGGAAAGAAGTAGACTCTCTGAGACATGTTGGGACAAGAATACCTTTCCCTGTGTGCACATGCAGACCGGCAAAGGCAAAACCAAGGGCTTGCTGTGTCTGTTTTGCATTGGAAGATCAACCCCATTTGAGCTCTGTAGAGCCCAAAATCACGCTGGTGCTTTTGGATGAATGGACATGCAAATGTATAAGTGATGTCGAGCCTAAAGGACACCTGACCCATGAATTCGCTGATAGGCAATGCCGTCTCAAGTCCAAACTGGAAATTATGGGCTAGAGGAAGCAGCATAAAAGCATCTTGTGCGATGGCTTGAGGTAGAGCTCCAGCGCACTTTGCTGCTTTCTGATTAGTGCAGCCGTGCCACGCAACGCTCCAATCATGGCAATGGGTGTAGCATCGGGTCTTCCGTCCAGGTCACCAAACGAAAAGTTCAAGGCGCGGCAGCCTGCCCGGTTGGAACCCCACAAAAGGGGGTAGGCCGCTGATAGGAAGAGGTATATAGCTAGTAGCTTAAGTAAGCTTCCAGGTAGGATGCAGGATAGCTCACGCTTCTTCAAGGAAGCTCCCCTCAGCTGTTTCGGCCCAAAGCCGGGCAGCTCACGCGCTGGCACGCGCCGGGGCCTGCTGCTCCTCCTCAGGGAGGAGGGTAGGTGTCGATAGAGGCGGAGCCCTGTGGTGACGCCAGCGCCATGGATACTAAGGACAATGTGGTTCATGCTGAGTCATTGGCAGCGAGAGGGCTTATTGATTGGGCTATCATGGGCCTTCCGTCCACTCTGGCTGAGACGGTGCGCACTGCGCTTGTGTCACCACTGGAGGATGTCGCAATGTTGATCAAGATTGGGTGCTCTTTGGTGAAGTGGTTGAAGTCAGTGATGGCCCTCCGTTTTCTGCTCAGCTGCGACGTGTTTCTTTGCTGTCTCCGCAGGTTGATCAAGTGGGTGAGCAGTGGGCAAATTTTGACCTCATTTGTCCCACAGTTCACAGACGAGTTGATTTTACACCAGGGATGCTGCCTGGTGTGTACACCAAACCGTCCAACCGACAGAGCCACACCAAGGTGGTTGCAGACACTACAGTCCCCATCTGGAATATTTCTTCCTTTGATCGGTGCCTTGCGTGGAACGCTACCCACCTTTTTGCTGGAGCGTACGAGGGCTGGTTGAGAGCGATGTGGTGGGTGCAGCAGGCGAACCTGGGACTAGCATTTGCAACCCACACCTCGGTTGATTGGTGTCCAGAAGTCATGAAAACCTGGGGCTTCAATCATGGATTGTCTTTCATGACCTGTCCAGTTCCTGAAACCTACAACTCGGTGGAGACCTTCAATGGCTTCCTTGCAGATATCAGTGATGTGACCCTTCTCAGAGCCTCTTCGAACAAGTCCAATCTGCTGACGACCCTCTCCCAGCTGGAGCCGAGGGGACAAGCACTCTGGTCTTGCAACAGATGAAGGTTTTTGCTTCCTGGATGCGATTGAACACGTATCTCGGGCGCGGCCAGTACTGGCCTTAGCCCATCCACATTGGAGGGTCCTTTCCGCTGCCATGCAATTGGCGGGTTATTGCAAGCTATGGTCGCAGGATGTCGCTATCCACCAGCTCACCTCCAACCACCGCACCCGGTGGCTTGCAGTGTGGTCCAGGCGCGATATCCCATGCCAGAAGCAGCGTGAGAGGTTTGTTTGCGCCATCCATCGACGATTGAGTTGGGACGATAACAAGCATCAACATGCCCTCCCAAGTGCCTTGGCTGATGATTTGGTTTTGCACACCCCTCAAATGCAAATCTATGGGGATCGCAATTTGCTGCCACCGGCTAGAAAAGTCCGGGTTGGTGAAGATGCAACTATCCAGCAAGTCCTTGCACAGCGGCTTGCTATGCAGGGAGAATATTTACCAACCTTATGTGCCTCGTACACAGCCCAACACTTGCTGCAAAAGGCGCACATTGAGTCCAAGGGCATCTTTGCCACTCTGACACAGCGAGATGATTGTTTCAGCTTCATTGATCCTTTCGTATTTGTGACTCTGTTTGGGACAACTGATTCTACTGCCCTGCCAGTTGCACTTCGGACAGCTTTTCATCAGCTTGGAAATGCGATTTCTCAGATCCATGCTTTGGTAGCTGTTCTTATTGCCATGGAAGGGGTTTCAGGCGAGCCCTTTCAGAAGCTCTCCCTAGTACAGCAGTGCTGGGAGGGTCGACTCAGTTCCGACAAGGCGATGATCAGTCTGTGATGACATGTATATGTCCTTCAACCGATGGCGGACTTTGTGGCAAAGGCAATCCCCAGTGTAGTTACATGGCAGCCATGGTTGGTAAACCACACCTTGCTTAGGTTCTGCGATGATGCAACTTTGATTCCTCTCAATGTCTCGGAGACACCAGGTGTGGTTGCCCAGCTTCTATCCAGCTTGGATCTTGCGGATCACCATGCTCACCTTATTCATCTCTCTGGTGATGGAGGTGCCCTGCCGAGTGATGTTCCATGGAGTGCGTTACCCATGGGGGACCTCATTGTGAAGTTGGGGTCTTTGGACCTTTGCACAATCCGGGCGATTCATACCCATGTTGGAGATCGTCCTGATGACCCTATTGTTTCTCCAACCCAACCGTGGCATGAGGAAGATGCAGACCCTGAATTTGATCATCTGCAGGATGCCAATCGAGCTGGTTTCTTCCACGTAGCCGAGCATGTTTGTCAGGATGATGACCCACGTCAGGTTGCCAAAGTTTTACTGCTCCAGCAAGACGGAACCTCAGAATGGATCCAGGACGCCAACCTTGATCGACTGGGAAGTATACCTGCCTTTCACCATCAGGGGAACACTCTTCACTTCTTCAAGGTCAATACAGAGGCATGTCAGCGCCTGTTGGGTGTCCAGGTTGCGATGGCCATACAAGGGACGTATGATCCAATTCATCCCAACAAGTGGATTCTCCTGGCTGGTGGCCAAAATTTGCGACGGTGTAAAATTTGCCTAGTTCCTCGCACGCTTACACCACGACAGTGTGATGAGCTATTGGAACAGCAGTGTCACATTGCGATGCGCAACCTTGTGGCATGCAGGGGCGACGAGCCGCTGATGCTCATCAATGGTGATGTTCTGTGAAGTGACACCAGAGTTCGAGAACCCAATATACAGCACATGTCACGCAAATTATTGATCAAGCCGATCTCGTATGGCGTGACACACAGGCTGATGATAGAATGGTTCAGTTTGCTCGGGCTTGCAGGAATGCGTTCCTCATTGCTATCACTGAGTCACCGAGCAGGGCCACTGACCTCCTGCGAAGGGCTACAGGTAGGCCCTTGCCTGTCTATGACATTCGGGAGATCTTCTTTGTGGCTGACGAATGGCTTGAGATGCGCCTCAATATCTGTCGGACCCACCCTGGGTGGGCTACCAGTGATGAGATTGAGTTTGCCATGGCTTTCTTTCTGCCTGAATCTTTCTGCCCACCCGTATTGCATCATGACCTCTCGCTGATTGCAGCTGGAGTCAAGGTTCCCTACCATGAGGTGCAGCTCTTTGTGGCATTACGTGAAGGGCATTGGATTGGAATTGAAGTGGTGCGCAATGTCGCGCGGTATTTCTTCAAGTTCCTCCAAAAAACCAGTAGTTCTGGCATGACTACGCCGTGGATTACATCATACCTTTTGGATTCAGGCCAATCATCATCATCGACACCAACCGTACTCGGCCTGGCATGTGTGGCTGGGAGCTTCTCCATCGATGGGTTGTTGCAGATATACGCCTCCCTGTTGCTTTCCACGCGCCGAACCCCAAGAGGCAGATCATCGACACTGTGATTGCTGAATCAGACCAATGCTGGCGGCAAGCTGGTGCTCCACCCATGCTGCGTACCTTTGCTGAGAACATTCGACGGCTCTTCCTCCTCGTTGGTGGAGTTCATCTTTTGCAGCCGTGTTCTGCTGTCTCTTTGGGTGGGGTGGAGAGTCAGGCCAGTACAGACTCTCCTATGCAAGCAGCTGATCCTTGGCAAATCGATGACCCCTGGAAAAGTAAGAAGAAGCAAGTGAAACAGAGCAAATGGGAAGATCTCCAGCTTCAAGCCGATCATCCTTTTGTTGCAAAGGACAAGACTCCGGTGCCTTTCGTCCAGAAGCAACAACTGTCAATGAATCGAGGGGGATTGCCTTTGTTTCCAAGGGGAACCTCCAACAAGCCAGGGAATTAACCCCCAAAGAGCCGTGCGCTTTGCTCTTGCCGCTCATCGATCCCACCGATCCTTTGGCTAAGCTCCCGAATCTTTCCGGTCCCTTCGAGGTGATTGTAATTGATCCTGCTCTGAACCAGGAGTATAAGAGGCAAGTACACCTTTTGGTCGTCACGCCGGAGGTACACTTTGCCTTGCCGACACCATCGATCACGCTAACTTTGGCTGCAGTTTGTGAGATCGTTTTGGAGTGCGATGTTCGACTCACCACTAAAGACGTTTTCCAAGCCTTCTATGACAACCCTCTGGCCAAGCCCAAGGCTCAGCTGAAAGAGGTGTGCTCGGACCCAATTTGGGGTCATGCTGCTATCTACGGATACAGAGCGGTGCAGGAGCAGTCCAAGGAGAAGCACGACCTTGTCCATCAATGCTTATTGAAGGTCCAACAGAAGCACCGTATTCCGTTGCTTTCTGCTAGTGGACATGGTGATTTGGTTGTCCGTGACTTTGTGGCCAAAGGAGAGTATCCATCATTCCTCGTTTCTGGCCTATTGACCGGCCCAACAAAGCAGATCTCATCAAAGCTGCCTCTAACATCACTGGGTATCGAGGGATTGCTGTCACCAAACAGGGTTTGGCACCACGGTTTGCCACTGATGCCCTGGCCACGGCCAGAGATCTTCTTCTACCGCAAGATGACAGGATCTGCACCATCAACAAGGCCATGGTGCCCAAGGTGAATATGGATAGTCTGGGCTGGCCGTCAGAAATCCTGGCGAAGGACATTGTCTCTGTAGTCCACCAAGCCACGAAAGTTCCATGCATTCCAACTAGGTCATTTCGACGGGCTGGAGTCTGCGCTTGGACGCTGTCTTTTGAGAAGGTGCCTTCAGTCAGTTTTCCGTCAGGGTCAATGAGAAAACCTTTGAGATTTTGCTTACACCGGTCTCCTACAAGACGCCTGTCAAAGGCAAGGGCAAAGGGAAATCGAAAGTTGCAAACACTAGCTTGCCTGACAATGCTCCCCTCTCGTGGCACTGTCTCCAAGGAGATCCACTCAGAGCGCATAGACCGGCTGGAGGAGCAGGTCGGCCGCCTGGAACAGAAGCACGAGAACTTCAGTGAGAAGGTCGACCGTCAATTCGGGCAAGTTGGAGACCAATTGCGCCAAATCCTCCAATGCGTGCAGCCACGACACCGTGAGCATGGAGAGACACCGGCCCCGGTTAAACACCATCGGGCGGCCTGACAAATGCAGAA